TCTCTCTCTACATCAATGAGAAAACCTAGCCGCAAGATAAATAGTGCTCCGAAATTGTTCACTTGTTACGAGTTGGGCCTATCGGCCCAACTCGCGTCGCGAACTAAATCTCAATTTTCGGGTCGCACAAAAATATGTCGGGTCGAGTGTTGAACCGGACCGAGAACATAAAATTCAAGACATATTTAACATTTTCCTTTGTTGGGGCTTTAGTATTATCTCCAAAGATGATGTTGCCATTCACCGCCTCATTAAGAGTTGAGAATGACTCTATGTTGCCACTCATGTGATTTGCGGCAACGGTATCAAGATACCATTCTCCTTTCTCTCTTTCTTCATTCGTTGCCAATAACAACAATGTCTCGTCTTCTCCTTCTTTAAGTTCAATATAATTGACCTTCACTTCATTGTTTGTAGTGGCACTCCTACATTCATTAGCATAGTGCCCAAATTTGTGGCAGGAATAACATTGAATATTAGCTTTATCATACCTTCTCCTTTCACCTCTATTGTAGCCATAATTTCCACGTCCTCCTGTTTGAAAGCTTGACCTTTCATTGATGGAATGTTGGTCTCCGCTCCTTCCACGACCACGACCAAAGTTTCCTCCACGACCACGACCACGACCACGACCATGACCACAATCACGGCCACGATTTTGACCTCTCTCATGAGACCATTCTTGCTTTTTCACTTGATCTCCCAAAGAGACCTTAGTTTGGAGTACTTGGGTCGCCGTCTCTCCCTTCTTCTTTAATCTTCTTCATATGCTTGCAATGACCCCATGAGCTGATCAAGGGTCATAGTCTTCAAGTCATTGGATTCCTCAATGGCAACACCAACAAGATCAAGCTTTGAGTCAAGCGATCTAAGAATCTTTTCAATAACACGAACATCGTCAATATTTTCGTCATATTGCCTCATTTTATTGGTTACGGAGGATACTCTAGTGAAGAAATCAGAAACGGATTCGGACCCCTTCATATGTAGAGATTCGAACTCACCACGTAGAGATTGAAGACGTACCCTCTTCACCTTTTCAATTCCTTTGAAATTATTTTCTAAAATATCCCAGGCTTCTTTGGCCTTTGATGTGGAAGCAACTTTCTCGAACATGGCTTCATCCAAGCCCATGTGAATAATAGAGAGGGCATCTTGATCACCTTTACGAAAGCTTGTTCAACGCGTTCTTTTGATTTTGATTCAAAGCCGCTTCATCCTCCGGTTCATCATAGCCTTTTTGAACAACTTCCCACACGTCTTGTGAGCCAAGCAACGCCTTCATGCGAATGCACCATTGCCCATAATTTTGTTTCGAAAGCTTGGGAACGGCATAAGGAAAAGAGCTATTCATCTTCAACCGTAGCTCTGATACCACTTTGTTGAAAATGGGAAGTTGAGAGAAAGAAACACAAGAGAATATTTAGAATACTCTTTGATATTTTTGTGGCTTGGCTATATTTAAATGATTCAATCGCAAGCCCTTTTATAGGTACATAAAGACCCTTAGTACATTGTATTCATTTATTAAGACCTCATAAAACTCCTAGAACTTTGTAGTACATGAATCTTGAAAATCTAATGGACTAATTAAATGCATGATACATACATGAACTACATTAATGCACCTAGGAAGAAGTACATGGATAATACCAACCTTAGAATAATGCACCTAAATTCATGAATCAAGTTTAATTTTCAACAATACTGGTGTTTGTTGCCCAGGTCGAGTGACCTCAGCTCTCTGTGGCATTCTCCTCGTCTTTCATCTAGGGGAATTATTGGGAACACATGCATAGTTAATTACAGGCCGATAGGAAGATTCATAACTTTTTATTTCAACTTACAAAAAGTTAATTTCCATTAAATGGATCCCGGATCACTCAATTAGGGACAATGAATGCCACTAGATGTTGCTAATTACCATGAATGCTGCTCGACGCAACATTATTAGACGCTTGGTTTAGTACAAACGGACAATGAGGTTATCTGAAAGGATTACTTTTTCAATTCATTTTTTCAATCGGTAGAGGAAATACGATAAAGAATAACGAACTTATTTATCTTAAATTGACAGAACTGAAAATATCGTCACAAGGCGACGACCTCAAAATTTAGGTCATTCGTAAAACTGTCTCTATCAATTTAGCACTACAAATATTAAATTATGTCTCGAGTTTGAGCGGTTTATGGAATTCGATCCGATTGGATAAAATATCCAAGTTTGATAGCACAATTAAATTCAAGAGTTGGACGCACCAAGGTCGGAGGAAAGATGGGCACTACAAGACAAAAGAGAAGCTCCCCCCTAAAGAAATCACTCAAGGACAAAAGGAAGGGGCACATTTCTCTGTCTTGTGGCCGTGTAAAAACGAAAGGCAAGTGAGGCCCATGAAGTTGTTTTTTTGGAGCAAAGAAAACAAAAAGAAAATGGATAGGGTGTGTCTAGGGCTCCAGGCTAGGTTGTCCTTCTTCCCTTGGAAGTCCAGCCGCACAAGTGGTGAGGAGAGAGTCCTCTGTCAACTCAGCTCTTGGGAAATGGCCGCCTATTTGGGTTCATTGACAAGACCACGCGATGGAGAGAGAGCACTGTAGCCACCATGGGTTCTGTTTTTCCGTGTCTTGAAGAATGGCCGCACGGTGAAGGAAGGTCTGGGTTTCTTGAGAGTTGAAGCCGGACGTTAGCTTTCTGCTGAGCCGCGGCACGAAGATCGAAAAGGAAGAAATCAAACAACGGGGAGCTCTTTGCTTAGCCGTGTGTAAGAGCTGAGAACGCACGGTAATTTGTGCGGTGAGGATTACGATCCAAATGAGTTGTTTATTCGTAAATACTTAGAATTTGAATTTAATTTAAGTGTAGAAAACACTCAAGCATTGCGAGCGATTATTGTGAATTTGGATTCTCCGATTATAGTGAATTATATGGTGCTGACTCTCGCCGTGCATGTAGATTTCGATACATCAAATATCACGTGTCCTTTATCATTCCTCGTTATTTCTCTGACTATATTCGTGTTGACATAAATTGCAAGATCCCGGATTTAGCTTCCGCGTTGGTCAGTATCTCAACAACTAAAAAACATGCAATTTGAAGTCGCGAGTTCAAAGACAGTCCCAGAGTTTTCTTGCTAACTACTAAATAAAATAAGTGTTGGGTCCACCTAAATGCCCAACATGGATCGTAGGATTTTGCTTGTCGATTTTATCATGACGTGCGGTCCGAAAGCCAGCCAAGATGGCACCAGCTCACGGGAACCCTTGGCGTATGTATTTGATTTCGTTTCGGGGACCCGCCACGCGTTCAATTTCCTTCGTGATAAACACATGAAAAAGCATACGACTGTCGTCCACCACCTTCGCCCGCAAGGAATAACTTTACGAGTTTTCCGTCTTCTGGTTCGTGACAATCTTAGAAAACAATATAATTAACCTCCACCCGATAGAGAAATTCGCATGCTCAGTTGCGTCTAATCAACCTCGATGAATTTTCAACGATTTTGGTCTCTCTTAAAATTTGCGTTATCAGTAAAGAATTTTTCTATTACCAAAATCATTCGGTGCATGATCCTGTAGAGATAGATAAATGCACTGGAAGTCCTAAAATTTGTTACGCAAGTGCAATCGAATCCTAAAATTTTCAAAAATTTCAATCAACGGAAGGATTTGATTGGACTAATTTGATAAGTTTTAAGACTTGATTGAACTTCTGAAAGTTTAAGGACTTAATTGCACTTTGGTAACAAGTTTTAGGACTTTCGGTACATCATTTTATGTCTGATCAATGTCGATAGAGAGAAGTTTTTCGACGGTACAGGGGCTCGATAGTGGAGGCGGGTAAGATCGTCCCTCTGATAACCCCGACTGTCCTCATGTCCGTATAAAAGCGTAGTTATGAAATAGTCGAACCAGTGGCTCGACAATGAAAACATATGAGATGCAAATAATGGAATGCGAATTTAATTAACTATTCATGACCTAGTAATCTGCCATTAATTCAAACTTTATTAAGTCTGGCATAAGCATAAGACTTGTGCCATTGCGATAACCACGAACATGAGGGTCAAACTCCTTGCGAATCAAGGAAAGTTGAATTTATACACCAATTGCTCTAATACTCAGCCGCCTCTGGAGACGCAGTTGGGTTTCGTTGTTATCAAGGTCCTGCAACATTCAAACTGCAATTATTAAAATTATATTATTTAAGAACTATTTAAATTACGTAACGTTGCTTAAGAAATACGTATTCTTAACATGCAAACACTATTGGATAACAAAATTTTTTGCATTGTAAATTTGGATTGTGCACGACATGGTTTTGGTATACAATCCACAAAAGTTCTATGTTTCAAACATTTTAACAAGGTCTAATATATTTTGAGAATTAGTATTAGGTTCCTGGGTATATATATATATATATATAGAAGTGTTTTTTCTAAGCGACACTGCAATCGTGAAATGTTGGCGCACAAGTTACTTAGGATAGTAGATTAAATAAAAATTCGACCACTTTTTTAGTTCTATTAAAGTGGCTATATCTATCAAAATTCAATAAAATTTAATTGGTCGATATTCTTATCGATATTTAGTTTTTATATCTTTAATACTTCAGTTAATTTAGTTTTTTTCTCATTTTCAATAACTCTGATCTTGTTACCGCAATTAAAGGTTAAAAAGAGTATTTCTTCAAAAAAAAAACTCTGTCGAGAAAATACAATATTATACCATGTGCATCGCACCATGCCAGAGGAAAAAATAACGAAAAGTTAATGGCCATAACAAAATGAAAACTCGCGTGAGTATTGTGTATCCGTCGAAGTTTAGGGACAAGCGGGTACTACCTCTAAAGTTGGTGGATGTTTTGTGTAAGTTTTTCCCTAGAATTAAACTCGATTCGATATTTTCAACTGACGAGATTTAGATATACGATTCAGAGCATATACAATTTAGGAAATAAAAATTTAAGAACTAAAGTAGCGTCTTAGGCTTTTCCCCCGCTCCCTAACGGGTTGTGATCCCACTCCACCAAGCCAAAAACAAGAAACCCCCCCAATTATTTCCTAATTTATACCATCATCCGTTCCCCATATATCTATACATAATATAACACTTCTTCTTCCCTAATCATTCCAAAACTATTCACAAAGTCATCCCTCACGTCTTCTTCCTCCCTCTCCCCACTCTCTCGATTCAAGAAACAGCAGTAGATCGTCACAGAGATTCAAGAAACAGCAGAAGAAGATCATCAACGAGCGCGAGAAGCAAGCGCCACCATGAATTCCATCTTCAGTTCCTTCGATTTCCTCTGCGCCGAGCTCTTCGGCATGAAGGTGAAGGCCCATCTCCCCCCGGCGGCCAGCACCGTCGGCGGCGGCGATCCCTCGCCGCTCCGGCGCGGCGAAGGGGCGCCCGATATCCCGAGGACGGGAAGCAAGGGCGAGAACGTTACAGAGCAGAAGCAGAAGCAGAAGCAGAAGGAGAGCTTCCCGCGTTTCGCTCTGGAGCTCGACGGGATTCACTGCTTCGAGACCATCGTCCCTCACTGAGAATCCCCTCCTCCTCATCATCATCATCATCATCATCATCCAGGAACAGGGGATTCTTTTGCTTTTTTTCTTTTCTTTTTGGCGTTCGAGATTTGAATTGCGTAACGCAGGGGGCTAACTGTAGAACTCTTGCGGTTCAAGATTTGCAGCAATCTTTCTTTGTTTTAGGAACAGTAACCGTAACCGATTCTTTTCTTCCATGTTCTTCTCCCAAGTGTTGGGGTTTGGGGCAGAAGTAACCATTGCTTTGGTAACTCGCAAGGGATGATTTCCCCATGAATCGACCAATATTACTCCCATCTTTCTTTTGTTTTTGCAATTTTTTTGATTATTTTGTTCGACTATTTTGCTTGTGTCCTATGGTCTTGTCGTGCCACATTATTCATGATCGGACTAGTATACAAAATTGTTTGCGTACATAAACTGGAGCCGAAAGGGCTAAAGGAGGTAAAGGCCGTAAGGCCCAAGATACACCAAAGAAGTCCAAAGCCTATTGGGAAAAGCTCCCTGCGAAAGAGCATCGAAAAGGTTATGCTGCTACATGGCATCGCGGGACACATACTGTTGGAAAAAGCTTAGGTTAGGATATTTTCAACTGAGGAGGGAGCACCGCAAAGACCCGATCGGCGTCGGTTGAGAACCGGCACCGAGGCGATGGGCCGGCACATCGAACGATGACAAGGTCTCCAAGACAAATTGAGGAGGGACTGGCCAAGGACATCATAGTTTATAAGCCCGACCAAGTCCGGTTGGGCTCGAGCCAGGTCCGCTCAGCCGAAAAACAGGATTATACTGACGGGCGGGGCAAAGGACTATTTCCTTGTCCTGCGCGTCGATCACATCCATGTCAAAGGAGTGGGGGTTGTCAAGTGTGTGACATTACCCCTAGATCATATTGTAATGTATGAATGCTCCTGGAACACTGGTTCAAATTCAAGAAAAGAAATTCTGGCATTATTACTAAAGCCTTGTTTCCCTCAGTCTTATTGGAAAATTGATGCGTTGAAAATATGGGGGATTTCCATGGTTTCTTGAGAGACCGATCCCCCGTCCTAAAAACGTCATACCCAAGTGCATTTTGTCGTATCTACTACATAACATATCGTGCCTCACAAATACTGTAAAGGTTTTCAATAAATGACAAAAGTTTATACCGCACCCTTGTAAACAAAGGTCTTTCTATATTAGGTATGATTAACCACTCTCCCGAGGACACTCGAACAAGACCCAATTGGCATGTAGAAATTATAGAGCATGTCACGCATGCTTGAAACATGATATATGATAGGGATTAGTATGGTATATTGGGAGATGAACACAAAATGAAGGAAAAAATGGGTGAACATCAGACGATCCTCTGAACTAGAACTTCTGGCAAGTAAGCTCGTGTGATGAATCAATAAGGTCGATAAACTTACCCTTGCAATTCCTCATTCTTCAAAGACCCTGTTCTTAGTTTTTCCAACAGCATTCGGTATCCAGACACGCAGCTCGCCGAGCCGGGTCTTGCTCGGAACATGGAGAATTTGAAATGGCTCGGTCTTTACGAGGCAATCTCCTTCAGAGGATCTTCTTATCAGAACAAAAGTCCGTCTAATTTCACTCTCTCCACAATCGTTTTTCTCATGTAATGTAACAAAGTTCAAAAAAATGGACACTCAGCATTCTTTGTTATTCCTGCAAGTACATGGTGCTCCAACGGTATTAAGCCTTGTCAATTAATACAAGTATCATCATCGCTTCCCGATCAGAGGCTTGCTTTCACGGCTAACCAAATCAAAAAGATCTAAAGAATGAAATACATTGGCCCCCTCGTCCTTCTCATAGGGTCTCTTAGATACAGCGGGCCATCTCGACAAATCTCTCGCCTTCCGCGGCCGAGACTTTCAACAACACCAGGGTGTAATTCAAGAAGCATTTGAATCATAACTTCCTCCCCATTTTAGCGAATCTTCGGGCGACTCCGAAGATAACCGCCTTGGTCAAGAGTCCCCGATCGAGACTACATGCAAGGACTATGGCCCCTCCGATGACTAAGAGTTTAGGTATGTTCTTCCCGGGACGCTGCTCGGACAAATCGCAGCGTTCGATTTCGGATGAATTGCCGACAGTACTTTCCACGGATCGGAGGTAGTCCACGCTGATTTTTGTATTGATTTGAGCCATGACGGCACAGCGCGACAGCTGAGACCCAGAGGATCTTTGCTTTTGATATGCACGCAAACCAGGCTCGATTTTCTTCACAGTTCCCCACATGCCTTGGCGGACTCCAAACTTTGCAATCTCCCAGGGTATGCCCATGTCTTCGTGGTGGAAGAGCAATACTTCGCAAGCACTAAGCTGCCCATCACCTTTTTTTGATTCAACTGTGCATTATTCAACAAGGAAAAGTTTAGGTCATTATTGAGGTTGGAGACCACAATTAAGGCCCATAAGCTCTATAGTTATTTTAACTAAATGTGATTGCTCACTCTGTTCTTTTCTCTCCTAGGTTATCCATTCCCTTCGCTTCCTCCAGTAAGAGCAAAAACAGCATTTGCTCATTCCTGGATCGTGTTACTTTCTCGATTCTTTCGATAGGAATTTTATAGGTTGCACTAAACAAAGAAGAAAAATGATTAGACCCCACCAAAGAAACACACACTACCTGCGCGAATGCACCAACTCGAATAGTATAAATCGACACGTCTTGGTTTGTTGCGCCTGGGAACAGAGTTGGGAACTCCCTGAAACATTAGAAAATAGAAAATGGTGATCCAGTTAATTAGGAAGCCAAAAGTCGTCAAAATTAAGTTGACCACAGATCAACAAAAATAGAGCAGCTGTCATTCAATTCAAAATCTGCACCAGTAAAACCTATTTTTGCCTCAACTAGCAAGTCCTGCTGATTTCAACCATGTACACCAGCCCCAGGTTCATGCAACCAATTTTTTGCACTCCTAAGACGGTTATCTAGATTTATCTAGAAGAAACCTCCTTCTTTAGGTTGCTAACATACGTAAATCTCTTCCCTTATTTCGAGAAAAACCTATACCTGCTCTCATACTTGTCAGTTCTCACTGAACTGAATCTAGAGTCTAAAGCAAATGTCTTATTGATAGTCATACGGAGTATGATGATAGGACTTCCTCAAATTGAAACTAAAAGATTCATTATGTGCCAAAGATAGACTTCATCAGATTGTTATTAATTGCCAGCACATAAATAATAGAATGTAACCTAGCAAGCGGATGAAATGTATGAAGCAACACAGTTCCACCTTACAGCCAATATATAACAGGTAAAGCTTAGGTCAGATGTCCAAGATGCAAGACCCAAGCCTTAGGGTTTGCACTTTTATTCAGCAGGAATAAATTGGACAAAAGTACCATGGATGAACAAAGAGCTACATCTAGAGGGTCCATCTCCGACTCTGCTCCAGAATTGCAACTCTACCCAACTTTAGCTTGGAGTGAAATTAGATGCAAGAGATCGAACTCATCTTTTGCGTGAAATATCCTAGACTATGTCCTCTTTCATATTGGTATCTTTAACTTCTGGTCATGCATTAAAATTTCCAAACAGTATATACTTGAAGCTAGTGGCTCCAAAAAAAGCCACCATGAAGCTAAACAAAGAAAGTCGCAGCACAGGAACAAACCATCACAAAGAACATAATAAATGAAACATGCTGAAAGTTAAATATTTTGCCAATGTAAATGAAAAAGAAAAATGGATGGATGGAATGAGGACACTGCAGCATTAAGTACTTTTTAACAGATATAATCAAAGTAGATGATATAGCTATACCTTTGAAACACAATAATACATTCTTCCTGATTCCCATATTCGACGGCCTATGATGTACTCTCTGTCACTACAGAAAAATGGAAACTGCACCACAGCACAGAACAGAAGACATCATTAGAAGAACGCAACAAATCGGCCCCCAACAAAAGCATTGTAGAAGACAAGAATTATCCTAACCTTGCGCACCCACTGCACCATCAGCGCGCCGGTAGTGGGACACTCCTCCAAGGTCGTAGCATGAATTAGCATATCATCCCACTTAGGTCGAAAACTATCATCCCAGAAGAAATCTCTGACTAGTTCAGGAGTAGCGTCCTCGAAAACAGTCCTGCTGCGGTATTGCGGAGGCCCAGTCTAATAAACCCATCAAACCCAAATTAAATCATGAACAAAACAGCATAGACAAACATACATAAACTCCACATGCCAACGGAGAAACACGTCCACTTTGTCTGCCCACAATTAAGCACGTAAAAGCCTACGAAAATTGAAAACCAAACCTACCTCAGGATCTCTATGCCAAGCTTGGCAACTCATAGTTGATGTGGATCGGTCCATCATATGAATCCAAGCAGGACCTCCATCAGTCACTTCAACAAGCCGGCATATATGCTCTAAATCATCTTCCCCGACGAGACCCGACAATTCTCGCTCACCCTGTGTTGAACTGCCAGAATAAAAACCACATCACTATTGACTTACAGACACCATCTTCCTTTCCCCAACACATCAGACTAAACACTATCATCAGACTTAAAATGCAACCAAATATAAGCATAGAAACCTGGCAACTGCACAAGCTAAACGCTAATTCAGAACAAACCTGCAATCAGTTCTTGTGGTTGGTGGCACAACAGAAGCCTCCTTCTCAGCCCCATCATTGGCAACCGAAGAAATGAAGCTCGTCAGCTGCAATTTCGATAACTTCAAGCTCGGAATCGAGGTCCTACCAACGCAAGACGACACGGGAGATTCCGAAGAATTCTCCTTGGGGCAATCCAAGAAATCCTTGCCCAGATTTGCCCATCTGGGCTTCCACGCCCACCCAACCAAAACCCCAACAACGACAGCAATCCAGACAGGAGCCACGAACAACATGAGCTCGCCCAGGACACCCCCAATCGTGGGTCTTTGCAAGATCTCCGAAAGAATCGAAATTAATGCCATTGCAAGCTCCAAAAACAGTCCAGCCGATAGAGACGAGGAATATCCAAAGCACCCAGATGAAGAAAACCAATTCAAATTACAAAAAAAAAAAACGGGGAAAAGAGAAAAACCCTCGAAGCAATCGGAATTACGAAGCGTCAGGCGCAGCGATTCTCGAGGGTTTCAAGAAAAGGGAGGGGAAGATAAACCCTAAACACCCACCAGAACGGCAATGGAAACGACACTTTTATTATGGGGTGGGGGCGGCGGAAAGGGATGTACACCGGCGAAGTATACGTAATAAACTAATACAAGAAAAGGAGACGCGACGAGTTGAGGAGGGAACGAAGAGATAAAGATTCGGTTCTTGCAGCGAGGGAAGGAAGGGAGAGAGATTGGGAAGAAGACAATGGAGACAAAACAGTGTCAGGCTTTGCGGATAAGAGGGTTTCGAGATAAGCGGTAGACAGACGCCCCGCGAGGATTACCGTAGGTCCAGGGGATTTCCCCCCGTATATTTTTTGCCAATTTCTCTACAAATTTCTGCGCTCTCTCTCTCTCTCTCTCTCTCGCGCTCACTCAATGGAATATCGCGAATCGATGCTGCACAGTACTAGGAGCGGAGGAGGAATTGTCGTGAAATCTTGCGAATGTCACACGGCTGTCTGGCGGAGGGCAGAAGAGAGAGAAAAACAGAGAGAGAGCGACAAGACAGGAATGTGAACGTGGGGGTGTGAACGAACGTTTGGTTGGTGCAAATTTTATAACATGGAAGTGTTTAGGTTTTGGGAGGTAGGCTTATAAAGCTCGTGTGGGTCGTCATCACCATCTTCATCCTCATCATCTTCGCCCCCCATTAAATGTTAAGCTCCGCGGTTGTCCCGACGCGGTCTCCTGTTTCACGTTTGCTGACTCGGCTCTGCCATCTTCGCACCAGATTTGCCTCGTCCTAATCGCCTGATCTAAACCCAAAATAAGTCGGGGCGAAAAAAAGAAAAAGGGAATGTCGAAATTCGTTAGTCTCGCGACTCGAATAGCCGTGTTAAGCGAGGCGACACGAAACTCGTTGTCCCGAATTTGGTGGGGGTGATTATCGCGATTTAAATCTGCATAACCAATTTAGCTGTTAACATGTCGGATGCGTCGTCTAGTCAAAATGGAGTAAATTGACGTGTCGACTTTCTCCCTTAAATAAAGAGGTCCTTGCTCCTTAAGAAAGCTTGCCAAAGTGGAAATTTTGGCACCGACAAGGGTGAGGAAAGCGCTACAATGTGAAACTTTACCAAAGACTTATTATTATATTCCTTCCATCTCAGCATTAGTACCAAACCCTACTAGAGGAGAAAATGATGGAGTACAGCTTCTTGACTTCGATCCCTTGAAATTATCATTGGTGTACCAACAACCCAGGTTGAAAATTCAATTTCTAGGACTCGATCCAAATTCCAACTCACTAAATGTAAAGAAGCTAGGTCTTAGTAAAGAACGGTGCAGGCGAGGTTCACGTGTCCATTCACTATGGCATGTCGCAATCCAATCCCTAATCTTACTCTTATTATATGAAAAATTATTGTGTAGGAGGTTCAGAAGCATAAAAGCACTTTTCCCCCCGAGCTGCCGTGGTCGCGTCGTTCTTCCCGGAGAAAATCATGCGATAGTGGCTTTTATTACAAAGAGGTGTTCGATTAGGACATGCAACCGTGCATCTGAAGTTTCGGGATAAAACGGTTAGGTAATTCGAAACTAGCACGGCATTCAAACTTCTCCTATGGTCTCGTCCATAGATCAATCTTTCTTTATGCATTAACGGTCCAAATCGCTCTCTCACCTTATAATTATCAAGTTTGCACGCTCGAAACTCTCTATCGCATCCAATAATATGAGTATTTACTTGAAAAGGAATGTTAAGATACACCGTATCATCTTTTAGTTAAGTAAAAAACTTTGAGATAAACAGTTACGTGCTTAATTTGATAGGGATGCGACGAATCAACATTCACATTTGGGCAAGAATGCTGAATTTTCGGTGAGGATCATATCATGCGTAATTACTTTCTGTGTGATTGTGTCCGACTTCCGGGTATCACCTTGCGTACCATGCGACATTAAATGTGTTTTGTGCGCAAAGTCATCCAAAATTTCTTGCGCTTTCGTCAATTTTCTACGTCCCATGCATTCCCACTTCCAAGTTTCTCTTCTTGTTACGAATTATTTAATATGCTTTGAATTATAATGTAATGAATGACAAAAGAGGGGTCAATGGTTTGAACCTCAATTTCTATGGTTTAAAACCTTAATCCTTTATTTGATTGTTTTACGAGGGAAAGCGCAATAGAAATCTGATATTGCAACATAAGGAGATCCAAAAAAGGAGTCCAACATTTGAGCTCATGACAAGTCTAGCTGGGCTTACCTTTGCTCAAAAACTTTAAGTTTTGGCATCAATTTCTCATTTATAAATCCAGACACCCAACGTAAAATTTTCGTTGTTCCACTCCTAACACGTGCACTCAACATTCCCCCATATGTGAGCCCATCGCATTAGGTCGGCTCTTAATCTTAAAGGATTCTCTTTTTGTTTACATGCCGGGGCAGGATCATGGAGACCTGCTTTACCTAGAGGTCCATCAAGAGCCATACAAGCCCCATAAACCAGTTCAGTCCAGACCTTTTGATCTTTATAAGTGGCCTTGACCTAAAACGGCTCACTTATAATTGGTGGGATTTGAACATTTCACCTCTGATTTCTGACCTGAAAATTTCTCAATAACCAACCGACTGTGCCTACTTTGGGAACTTGAAGGTATTCTTTTTCACACCTACGAATCACCACTTGAATTTCCAATTATCACCGACCAGTGCAACACATGCCTTCATCGGTGGTCTCTGTTCTAAACCAAAATAGAATGCCTCACAGAGCAACCGCAATCTTTCTCGAGATTTCCTCAATGAAAGTATCCAGACAATCTACCCTTCTGCACAAAAGATGGACCCCGTGCGCGCGACCTCTAGACAATATCTCCGTAAGGAATCTCACGGATTGTCACGCTCCGTGACGCTTCATTACCAAAACTAAAAGACTTTCGCTGCAGCTTCTCGAACACGTGGTTCACGCAGGGTCGTCTCGTTCTTCGTTTTTCGCAAACACATCTCGTTTTCCTTAGAACTCAAATAGCTACATTTTGGACTCAACCGGACTAGAAGAAAGAGAGTAGTCTCTTTCAACTGCTGTTTTTCACGGGTATCGTCTCGATTGCGCGGTGAATTTAGATGGTGAAAGTCCAGCGACTGGTGCATAAACACAGGGAAAAACAGCAGCACAGCCACACGTTCTACCAACATGAGAATAGCAAAGCGCATGAACCGGTCACTACTTTTTGCTGTATCATATGCAGAAACCGACCACTGCTGAGATTAAGTTAAATGAACATGTGAAAATGCTGCATCTGATTAAGTTAAAGAACATGTGAAAGTGCTGCATTTTCTTAAACATGCATTGTGGTGAGTGGACTGTGCACTTTCTCGAGTGAGTGAAAATAGAGTTTCGAGTGCTCCCCTTTTGACCTCCATGAAGAGACCCAACACTTCGTCGCTTTGCTCGTGCATTTCATGTTCTTTATTTGTTTTCAAAGGCTTCGAGTGGCCACGGTTATATGCTCGGGACCCATTGGAATGGACGGAGGGGAAAACGTACGTCTTTCGAAAAATCGACAATTTAAAAACTAATTCTTCTTTTAGGAAAAAATGTTTATTTGTGTCGTGTAGTAAGCTGAGCTGACGGAAAATATTTTCATCATCAATGGACGATGGATTTTTTTTGTCAATTCGTTTTTGCAATCGATGCGAGCGGTCAGCCGTAGAGAAGTGTTCTCCAAACTGTTGATTTTTCACTAAACATGCACACTTCAATTTACAAACGCCATAACATGAAGTTCAAGGATTGACCAGAAGTTATTCTGTTCTGTTCCTTCACAGAGAATGATTACGAATTTCAGGAAACTACCACGAGTTCCCTCTCCTTCTTTTTTCCTTTTATCTATTTACTTTTATTATTTTTGGTTGGGTTGACAAAGAAATCGATAGGTCAGCAACGTTATGGGAACTGACATATAGAGCACCAGAGCAAGAAAGGCACGCCCATAACCTCTGGTGGAGGAGCACCTGTCCACAACCACAAGTACCCAGATTGATGCTCTGAGCATGGACAGTCTGCAGAGAAATGAGTAGCTGCCGTGAACGAGTGAAGCACGCTTTGCCTGGTTGATAAAGGAAGGGCACTTTGTAGTTGCAGCCGTATCATAGCAGGAAGGGACTAAGTCCATCATTCACTCATCACCATTTCCACTCCCTCAGTGGCACTGCCATGAGCTGTTACCAAGATCCTGGCCCCAGCCTGTTGGGGCAAACGCAGAGTTCTAAGTTGAGACGGGGTACCAATTAAGAAATCTAGCTAAACCTCGACTTGGAGGAGAGAATAAATACTGATTTCGGAAAAAAAATATCCAAGAAGTTCTAAACTTATTATATAACAGTCAGTTCGTTAATGAACTTTTCAATTTGGCCAATTCTAGTCCTAAACCTTTTGGTGGTTTTCCAATTGCTGATGTGGCGGTCCAGTCAGCCCCGGCCGTCCACATGGCACGGTCGATGAAGACCTAGATGATTTTTGTAATTTTTTTAAAATTTTTCTATAATTTTTCCCTTTTCTTTTTTTTTTTTCTCTTCTTTTTTCCTTTCCTTTTCATTTTTGCCAGGTAGATGAAGACCTAGATGACGTTGGAGGTGAGGGCATCGCTGCCCTCCCTGGTAGTCGGCCATGGGAGAAAAGGAAAAGAAAAGGAAAAAAATATAAAATTTTTTTTTGCAAAAATCGTGTAGAGGACAGCCAGTGTCTACATTAGTAATTTGCGGCCAAATTTCGTGGAATGACTTCAATGGAAAATCATCAAAAGATTTAAGACTAAATTGGTCAAATTAAAAAGTTCGGCACTCATTTGGCCACTGTACAATAAATTATGACATTTTGGACAATTATCCCTACTAATTCTTTTACATGGAATTGCAAAGAATATAACATGCGATTAATGAAAATTACATTGAGCCCTACTGGCCGAGGGCGACAACCGATGCCATTGCCAACGGCCCAACGTAGTACTCATTTGCCGGTAGTGAAACATTCAAAGATTATCGTCCGGTGTGTCTGAACCGTTTCATTCGAGCTTCAATCATCTTACACTCTCAATTTAGACCGAAGAAATTGTTCTTCTAGCACTTAATTTGTGTATCTACTCCGTCCACATATCGACATAGCCTAGTTCTCCTCCACACATTAATTTTCTAAATTCCCAATTGTTCTCTGTCACATAGAATGTAAACTAACTAATCAACTAACCAAGTCTCCTTTGTGGACTGGTGGTGAAGATGTTTCTCAAGAAAAAACGAAACAAGAATGTATACCAAAGAGCTTGTTGACCTTTCAGAAACGTAGGATGTGTGAAATTATTGACCATTTCTCCCCGCTCAAGTATGAATTCTTGACTCCGACCAAAAAAAAAATGTATGAATTCTTGACCATATATGAATGGAGAAGAGAAAGTCCAAAGGT